ACGGTGACGCGTTTAGGTAGTACCTCTAGACTGCGTTTGTTCTGGTACGGTTGTCGTATAAAGGGGTCTGTACGACTGTTTTTGTACGAAAACCGTACAAAAGTTGTGTCGTTTGGTCAGTTGCCGTGAGAAAATGTAATCTGCGACCCCCTTATGTCAGCCTCGTATAGCCTTGTCCGGGTTAGGGTTATATATGGCCAAAAAATCGTACATTTTTCGGTATGATCGTACAAAACGACAAAATGTACCGCATTGTCTTGGGCCGTTCGTTTTTAGGTTCTTAGGAAATTAGGCATATATATGCTAGAATATGTGCGTTTTATGCCTGAGAAAAATAGTGGGGGAGATAGCGTGAGAGCCCAGAGCATTGTAAATTCGATTCTTCTAGTGCTTTGTCTTTTCCCTTGTCTTTTTCCTTTCTCCTTTCCCCCTGTCTTTTTATTCCCCTTTGTAACCTTCCCTTGCAATTAAACTTTAATAATTTAACTATGGTAAAGATGAAGTTAATCCTTGGCGATATTGATTTTATTTATAAGTAAATAAACTTTTAGTATTGAGGCTATTTCTCTTTCTCTTTAATTCTTTTATTGATTCGCTTGCTTTGTTTATAGAGGTTACTGACGACTATTTACATTCTTAGTAGTTCGTTGAATATATTAACTACGTCGTCGTCTTGCGAATGCCTTTATTTCTTAATATATTAGAAGGCCTTACCTTTATAGATATGGATAAATGTACTTACTTTGGTTTGGTTTGTAATAGAAGTTGTAAAAAGATTGAGTTCGAAATTAGATTTAAGGGTGTTAGCAATGCTTATTATTATATGATTAAATTAGGCAAATATTAGTATAAATGGGATAACCGCCTTAAGAAGGTTTATTGGTGGTAGGAAGCTAAGGGTATTGTTTTTATATATATCGATATTATCGAGTATATTGGTAACGAGTCTATTAATTTTAACGACAGCGAGGTTGGTAATAATAAGGAGGATAACGAACTTTAATTTATTTGTTATTCAAATTATTAGTTACTAATAATATTATTAGTTACTAATATTAGTTATTAATAATAATATAAATTGTTGGTAATATTGTTGGTAAATTAAATTGTTGGTTGATGGTGTTGTTTATTATATTACTTTAATTATTGGATGAGGCTTTTGATGTTCCTTAATATTAGTAATTTACGTTATAGATACTAGGTTTTTAATTTCGCTTTTTTATAATGGTTATAATTACATTTAGCTCTCTCTTCTACCTATAATTCGAAAGTAATACCGTTATTTTTAAATAAGGGGATGGCTTTAACGTTATTAATATTAACAATAATATTAATAGCCTCTTTTTAATTACGTTAGTCGATAGTAGCGTTATTAATATTTTTAATATTCACTAAGTGATTTTAATTACTATTTGGAATGATGGATATACCGTTATCTTTGAAAGATTTAATAATTATAGCCTTCTTTTTAATTATGAGGATATTCTAGTATTTTAATACTATATAAGTAATTATAATCCTTTTATTAGATATAGATTATGCTTTGCTTTTATTTTCCTTATAATCTTCCTAAGCTTTGGTAGCTAGCTTTATTTCCTCCTTTAATAAGTATTTGAATAGGAAGTTAATTATTGTATTAAGAGGTTAAAGAAGATTGGTAAGACTATTAGGGATTATAATTTGGATAACTTTATAAAGTATATTATTATTAAATTTATTTTTAATTCGTTAGGTATTATAAGATAGGTATATATTTATAATTAGTAATAATTTTTGTTTAATATCATCTTTAATAACGGGAGTAAATTCGTTATTAAATTAGTTAAGTAGTAAATATTCGTTTTGGTATATTGTTTTGTTAAATTGTATGTTAATATTTTATATATAGAGAGCTTTCTTTTTAATAATCTTTTTAGAGGTGCCTTTATTATAAAAGATAATTATTAATTTAAAACGAAGGATACTATTTATAAAAATATAAAGGATAAGATTTATTTATTACTTACTCTATTTATTATAGTTAATTTTATTTATTACCGATTTACTTCCTTTAATCGAGTATAAATAATTATTAAAATATTCGAAAGGAAAGGGGCTTTTATCGGAGTTTATAATAGCGGAAGGAGGAAATTGTGTGTTTATATTAAATATAGTAGATTAGTAATTACGTTTAATGAATTTGTAGGTTAAATTAATTAGCTTTTGAAAATCTTTAGGTTTTCGCCGATAATATTTAGGTTTTTTCCAATATTTATTAAATTTCTTCTAATAATTTATTGTATAGGGAAATAGAAAGGTAGGAACTATGAAAAAAGATTATAGATTATTATATAGATGTATAAATTTACTTTAAGAATGAGTTTATTTTAATAAATAATTTAATTAGTAGTCGTTAAAATTAATAAGTAATCTTTCTATATAATATATAATAACGGAATAAAATATTATTAAATTAATTATAAGAGAATAAGAAATCGGATTATTGTGCTTACTTTGGATAAAGTATAATAAATATAGTAGTTGCAAGAGCACAGTATGGGTAAGTCGAAGGCAAAGCTAAGATTCCATCTATGATAGAAGATTTCAGATAGGGAGAAGAAAAGAGGAAGAGAACTAGGTACAAGCGTACAGACCCAAATAAATACCCTGGTCGCACAAGCTACAGCGGGACCCACATGCGGGTCGCTAACAGCCAATCCCTTCACTCGCATCCTTTTTACCTGTAGGACAAACTCCTGCACGTGCCAGGGTCTACCCTGTAACCAGTCTTGCAATGACCAATTGAATAGCTCGCATCCCTAGTCTATACCATGCCTAGAACCTCTATGTATCTTATTCCAATAGCCTTATAAACTACTTTGTGCATAGCACCCAGACTCAGTCTATTAGCGCTGTCACAGTAGTAGATTCTCGGCGGAATTATCCTATTGTAACGACAATATTATTTTATTTAGTATATTAAAATTTTTTATATAGTTAACGTTTTAATTTTAGCTATAGAGTTTTACTATTTCGAATTATCCGAAGTAATATCTTTTTTCGGGTCTTTTACTAGTTTTGTATTATAGTTTTGGGTATTTTAAAGAAGATAGCAACCTCGTGAACGAAAATATTACGATGCCTGTCGACGGTGTGAATTTTATTATATCATTAGGAATTGTAATAACGGCGGCGGTATTATTATTCGAGAATCCTACCCTCTTCGACGACGAGGGATATTGTAATTTATATTAAATACGTTAATATTTATTCGAATTATTAGTATTGTACTTCCTAATCTTTTTCTAATTTTTGCCCTACTACAATAGTACTTTATTAATAAGAGTTTTATTAATTTAGACTTTAATTTCGTTAGAGTAGTATTAATATATTTTAATAGTAGGTTTTTTAAATTTCTCCTTTATAATTTTATTATTCTACGATTTTGGTTTGGGATTAGGGCGTTGTTTAGTATATTATTAATTCGATAGGGGGGGAAGAGGAGGAAGAGGAGGAAGGGGGGGAGGGAGAAGTACCCAGGCTAATTATATTAGGATTTTTAGTTCTATTATGATTTTTAGTTATATTAGGATTTTTAGTTATATTAGGATTTTTAGTTATATTGGTTGTATTGGAAGTGTTCGTTGTACTCATGTTGGGCGTGCTAGGGATGCTGCCTTAGGTACCCGTTCTTAAATCTAGTATTTATATTGAAATAGAATGTCCTAATATGTGGATCTATTTCTACGTTCAATATTAGAAAGTATTACGATATCGACGACGATGAGTTTTATAGAGGGCGAAAGAACGAGAGAAAGTTATAGGGGAAGGTTATAGGGTTTAAGAAAGAGAGTTAGAGCGTAGGGATATTTAAAATTACCGTCTTGTATAGAATTTCTAGTGGGTATGAATGTTGTAGTATGCTTGTAGACTATGCCTAATTTCCTAGGAACTTAAAAACGAATAGCCCAAGACAATGCGGTATATACGCTCAAAAATGCAGTCAATGCGGTATATACGCTCAAAAATGCAGTCAATGCCGTACATCCACCTCCTGCACCCTGCAATGCCCTATAGTTATAGGGAGCTCAGTGCATTCGTGCGACGCTTCTGCTCTATAACCCGCTATAAGAGACCCGTCGTTGCAAATCGTTTTTGCAATTTAAGTGACCGTATAAAAAGGCTCGAGGGGGGTGCAGAAGGCTGTACGCTGCATTTCAAAAGTGGCCCGAGCTTTGCAGTATAAAACTATACGACCAGATTCTCTGTACGGCGGCAGTACGAAAACAAACGCAGTCCTAGCAATAAGATTGCAAAGCTGTAATAGTCCGATAAAGAGGTATGAGGCAGTGGCTTGGTTGAGGTTCTTTCTCAGTTGCTGATGCCATTCATTGTCACCAACAAGAGAAGACATACAGAATATCCACTGCGATGGAAGATATCAACTACAACTGACCAAGGAATTGGACCTCAAGTCTTTGCCATCGTAGATATAGAGGATCCGGTCGGAGCCATAGTTACGACCAGATTACAGGCGGCAGAGATCACATTGACCAACATGGTCACAGCGGAGTAACAACCGGGCGTACTCTAACACCCCGTATTTGTCCCTTCTGTTACCACGACGAGGGCGAACCGGATGGGCTCTCGCGCCAACATGTCACGGTAGGCCGTCATGGCCGGGTGTGCGAGGGAGAAATCTGGTCCCGAACAATGTGGACATGACGTTGGGACCTAGTGATGTGAAGGTCTGTAGTCCTATTGGAGGGAATTGTTACGTCCCCTTGGTACCTGGAGTGACTCCATAAGAAGGGAATGGAAGGATCAGACTTGCGACCGTGAAAACGATTGTCACTAGTGTAGAGCATCAAAGTGTCAGTAACCTCAATGCACCAAGACGAACTTAGAGGTATTGCTCCCAATGTCTAGGCGTTGTCGTTTACTCCCATGCATATCCGGGGGGCCGCTCTCGGCGAGTCGCTTATTGGAGGGGGCCTGTGGTTTGGATGGAGTAATATACTCTAGATAGCGCTGTCAACAGCAACTAGCCCCCGTCGCAGCCACTACGAAGTTAACGAAAATGTTTACTCCCCCCGCCACAATCGCAGCGCCTCCCCAGACGCCGTCCTTCATCAGGTCCAGGAGCCCGACTCGCTTTCACGCAACCTCCCACCCCCGGTGCTCCTCTCCGTAGACAAGTCGCCCCGGAGGCGAAACACAGAGCTAGAAGTGTAGATCCTATGACGAGCATCACCACGCTCAACAGACCGGGATCCCTGCAGAGATTTTCTTGGAAACTTGAGAGGAAACTCTCTGTTTGAAGATATCGCAATAGCATGGTCTGATCTTTGCCAGATAAAAAACTCGTCATCCAAATCATATCAGCTCGACAACGGATTATCTCGAGAGATAAAATGCGAACTCTCTCATCTGAAAGTGTCCTCTCACCGATCTCAGTAAAGCAACCTCGTCCGTTTTGTTTGCAACTCAACAAGTTCGAGCTTGACGCTTCATGTTACTGCTTGACGTCGAGAGAGAAAGGCACTGTGCGTTGTTTTGTTGGTGAGATGATCTCGTCGTGATCCTCGCGGTTGTCGAGGAAGAGAAGAAGCAAGGTACCTCCAACCTCGGTTGTAGGTATCCATCGAGTTATCGGCCTTTGATCCATCAGACCTTTCCACCCCGGTGGCATCAACAGTCTGGCTCCGGCTTTTTTCCTGGATATCGTTCTGCGCGCCTATCTCTCGCCCGCTTACCACCGCCTCCTCGTCCTGCTCGCCTTGCTGAGGAGAAGAAAGCTGAAGAGGCCCGTCTTGCTGAGATGGAGGCCGGGGAACAGCAAGATAACTCGCAGCTCCCGGCGAGTTCCCCCATACAGGATCAGGGCGATTCTATCAATCACGTAAAACTCCTCGCGCTCACCACCCTTCTAACAAGGACTCCTCGCGCTATTATGACCAAAACCGCCAAACTCGGCGTAAACAAGCAGGAGACCCAAAAACTCGCCAAGCAGCATTTCGACATTATTCTTTCGTCAAAAAAATATGCCGCCTACAAGACTACTAGAGCCAAGGCATGCAGGCCCAATAGCCCCTCGTACGAGGTAGTTAAACATTTCGGAACCGAAAAGGATTGCATCCAAGCGTATACAATATTTTGTCAGGAGGTCTGGAATAGTGCTTATTGGCCATACTACCGCTCTACCTGCCACCACCCCGATAGGTAGCTTTGGCTTCGGTCTCGGCCCCTCACCGTCCCTTTAGAACTCCGTCCCCTCCACATCCTGCCTTGAAAACCGACAAGGATGACGATGAGGATTCCTCGTGGAAAATCTTCAAAGGCTGAGTTCCATAAGGTAATGAAGGGACTCCCGTTCTTTGAGAGACCACCCAGCAGTGTCATGTAATCGTTGCCATACGGTCCGCTGATGACACAAGCATGATTGTTGCAAGGACCGCCGCTGCAATGTGTAGCAATGACTGCATCCGGCACTAATCCCATGTCGTAGCATTGGAACTTCATGATAACGGGGGCACCGGATTGACCTGCAGCCGGTGACATACGGTGCTCCAGCATGTTTCATGTCCTGGCATGTGCAGCCAGGTCGTAAGTGAGTTGCTCGACGAGCCCATACATTTCTGCACCTGACTCTCCGTTCTTTTGTCGGTGATCGGTGGAGGGTGCCGTCGATGGCTATCGCAACGTGGGCTGGGCGGACGAGTCCTCCCTGCTCTTGCACGAGCGGAGGTCCTACGACCACGAAAAAATGCTCGCTGCACGGGAGGGCCGTCCTCCTCGTCCACGGGACGAGAGGCTTTTATGCCCATACTGTGATAAAGATTACGCGCATTCGAGTAGGTAATCTACACAACCACATACAAAAGCATCACCCCGGCAACGCCGAAGTCATCAACACACAGACTTTTGTTTGTGATATTTTCCCGGAATTAAGTTGGGCAAAACAAAGCGAACGAGATGCCCACCGCCGAAAATCCCACTTGCACCACGTACGTGTTGCTGCCGCTTTAAACCGCTTGATCTTCTCTCCGTCCGCGAACCCGCAGACCATTTTTCGAGTCGTCAAGTTTATGCGTAACAGGTAATAAGGCTTGAGACAAGTCCACCCTTAGATATTGAGACCGGTGAGGAGGTAGTGAACACCCTAACATTCGCGGTAGTAACAGAGGATGCCCCGGATTGGTTTGTGCATCCCTTCTTCAAGCAGCACCTCGGGACACGGGAGCTTTGGTCGAAGGCAACAGCCTGGCCCCTGACAGTCGCTCCTGGGCTTGGGAAGATGTTGCTGGCGGACTCTCCGCCGAGCCGGGGGGAGGAGCGCAGGTGAACGTGTACGTGGTGGTCGCTTCGGTCGTCATCTTGGTGTTGTTGTGGTGGTTGTTGGTCGTGGTGGTGGTATCTGCTTTGCCGCTGTCTGCCAGTGTGTATGTCAGTTTTCAGTATTGTTGGCTGGAAATCAGAAAAATATCAGCAAAACGAGTTGTAGCGGAGAGAGGAGATTAGGTTACCTCCTGCTCCGTTTCCTCCCCCCATGACTCAAGCTCTTCAAAAACTGTACACGCGCAGCTCCATCCTATGAACGCCTCTGACCATTGATTTGAAGCGCTGGTCTTCCAAATATAGTACCTACAGGTAGACAAACGGACCCTCACAGGAGGTGTTGGTTTAACAAAAGAGTCGGTCTAAGCCCTTCGTGGAAACGTGGTGATGCTCTCAGCGCGGAGGATGTCGGTCTTGTACCGAAGGATGGAAGTACCTAGGTTCTGAGATCTAGGACTCGCCAGCACCTATACATCTCTCGCCAGCACAAACACCTCTATCGCCCTGCCCTTGGTTCTTTTTACTATGAGTTCGATGGTGAGCTTTCTGAGCACGCGTCTCTTCTCGTCTCCCGATGGTATATCCCGCGGTCACCTGGTGGATTGTTTCTCTGGCGGTCCTGTTCTCCTGGTTGTCAAGATGGAGGAATTGATATGGCCAAGGGCTGAAAGGTAGTGCTTGGTCAAGTGTTTGGAGGATTGTCTCCCGATCTAGGTACCCCCAGTCTTGCTGGCCCTGAAGCTGCTTCACCTCATAAACCCCAGAATGGTTTCGCCGCTTGTTTGATAGCTGGGAAGAAGTGATTGACATCAAGCGTCGCACGCAGGGCGTGTTGGTTTGCGGCGACATAAATCTTTTCGCAAATGGGGCTAGACTCTGCTCATGAGTCATGATAGAACGTGTCAGTTTGGTTCGGCACGAGAAAGGACAGAGTGTCAAACCTGCATGCATAGGGCAAAGGAAGCTCGCATGTGGACTTCTACTGACGTGGAGTGTTTTCTTACCGTACCTACTAGCCAGCACACTGAAAGGCAATGTTTAGACCGACTGCCGCAGGCCTGCACCAGCCCTGGCTTGCGCCTGCCTGTACTGCAAGGGAAGCTATTACGAGTGGCTGGTACAGAAAGAGCTCAAGAGTGTCAGGGAAGGAGTCACTTCGAAGGATAAGCCAGTTGGTTGTTTGGGAGACCGGTTGGGCACGAGAGGATGTGTATACCGCAGCGGGAATATAAGGAGCGTAATAGGGCTTGTTGAGCGCAATAGGCGTTGTTGTATATCTAGGGCGTATATATGGAATAGGCCTTGTTGATTTAATAACCCTTATTGAGTTGAGGGAGGCTTCTAATTAATCGGATTTGGGTGTAAAATAGTAAAAGTTAAAGACCCTTATAAAAACCTTTGGGAAAGTTATTATAAGGGTCGTTATTTAATAATAATTTTAGAGAGAGGTAGTAGTTATTTTAGTAGTTAGTCGAAGGATTTCGATTTCGAAGTCCGGTTGAAGGCATTTATACTTTGGTCGCGCGAAACTTTTCGTACGACCGAAAAAAAGCTCTTACTAATTGGAATCGAATTAGTAATTATCAGAATAAGAGCGACGATAAGAATTATTAAGTTATTGGCCTAATTAAATGAAGGCAGGCTTCGTTCTTTCCTTTGATATAGAGTAGTGGAGTTTCGAGGGAAAATGAACTTTGGGAAAGAAGTATCGTCACTTTAGCACTAAAGTAGTACGCTCAACTTGGGGACCTTTAGCGACCGTCTATAGCGGACACCCGGATTAAACAATTAGAGGCCTCCCTTAGTTCAATAAGGGTTATTAAATTAATAGGACCTATTAATACAATAGGGCTTATTGAATCTATAAGTCCTATAAGCTACATTAAGCCTTACAAGCCCTATTCCCCTCCGCATTTTCCCGCTACGGTACAAACCCATGGTCCCCAAGCTTTGGAGCAGTCTCTTCTTCTACAAGATGAAGCCCTATTCCACATCTTTGGGACCCAGATATCTTTTTCCTCGCAGGCATATCAAAAGTGAAGATGATCAAACGCAGGCAGGTATGGTAATCACAAATGGACATGCATGGCATGTATTCGGATGGGGAAGTCATATCAGGGCAGTCTCTGCATCAGCTCTTCCATTTACCATCCTTCTTCTCTGTTCACTTGAACTGGTTGTTTAGGATATCAAAGAACTCGTTGAGGTCATTCGTAAGATCTTTGAATGACCTCCGTGCTTGTTCAAGAAAGGCATTACGCCCAGCTGACGAACTGTTAGCACCGTAAATAAAAACCAAGAAAAGACGACTGACTTTGACGGCCCACATCCCTCACAACGAGACTCCAACCCGACAACTACTCCTCCGGCACGTTTTGACTCTCCACCACCCCCTCACCCTCCTCCGGAGCCCAAGGCACCCACCACAACCCGTCCACCCCAATCTCCTTACTATACTTCTCAACCTCCGTCTTTACGTCCTCCTCCCAATAATCCAACACCCCAATCAACAACCGACGGAGCTGTTTTCCCGCCCAGTTATGGTCCAGCTCACCCATCTCGCAGTCTGGCTCCTTATATCCAGGACAGTCACGCCAAGGCATATCAACGGCCCCATTTCCTTGAGACTCGACGAGGAACCTGCGGAATGGCACGGCCGCCGCGTCAAGCGAGTGTGTACGCTTGAGTGGAAAAGGAAGGCGGGAGTCCAAGAGCTCCAGCCAACCGTTGTAGTAGGTGGGCAGCCAGGCGCAGGTGCACTGTTGTGCCACGCTATATGTCGAGGAGGTTGAAGATCCGTCGGACTCAGCAAACATATCGATTAGCGCCGGGGGAGCGGGAATGTCAAGGAGATGGTCTTGAGGGAAGGGGCCTCTGTCGAAGAGGAAATCGTAAACGTCGCCGAAGTAGAGATCGTTGAGGTGAGTGCGGAATCCACTGCGGATGTATGCGAGTCTATCTGTGAAGGGGAGATGTTAGGTTTGGTTGACCTATAGCTGGATCCCGTTGATATTGGCCTTGGGAGTGATTCAGATCAAGGAGGCTGTGGGTGCACTTTGACTTTGGGTTGAAATCCTCCTTCCTCAAGAGAACGAGAGAGACCGTCGGATTGGCAAGTGCCACTGCTAGGGCAGATCGGACTTACCAAGAATAAGACTATCCGGCGTTACTTTCATGGGAGTTGGGAAATCCACCCCCAGCCCTAGAATTGCCGCCTGGGCATTTTCCAGATTCGCAAAGAGTCCTATATGCCCTCGGACAAGCTCAAGACTGAGCCTGTTGAACGCCGCAAGATTACCAAAGAAGTACGCAGCCTTCATCAACGTCCACCTCCTGACCATGTCGCTCAGGCCAAGCCGCTCGCGGATAGAAAAAAGCCACCCCCACGCAGCGGTCCTCAGCGGCGCGCTCCCATCCGGAAGCTCTCTGTCAAAGTTGAAACGCCAAGTGGCTCCGACCAAGCGGACGAGGAGCCTCAAACCAACCTGCTTGGGCCAAATGTTGCTGTGAAGACCGCGGAGGATGATGAACAGAGCTAAGACGTCGGCGCGCTTGTAACTGCGTCTCCAAGGATTTTTGGAATCATGGCTCTGAACTTTCAGCACGTCGTCAAAGTACGAGCTGTGCTGACGAAGGAGGGACGAGCGGATGAGGAAGTTGCGTTTTTCGCTCTGGTCGCCGACGGTGAGAAGGACGTCGCCGTCCTCGTCGAAGATGACATCTGGTTTCTCGGGGGAGTAGAAAGCCATCGTCAAGAGGTCTTGAAGAACTGGGCGACGGCGAAGGAAGAGGGGTATGGCCGGGGCACTGGGTTGAGACATTGCTGAGAATGGAGGTGATGTGGTCGTGAATGTCGAAGTATCGAAAGGCGAGAAGGCGCGCTGGTTCAAAAGGTACAGGCAGTGAAGAAGGGTTTGTTGTTGATGGAGGATTATTGTGAGCTGGTGCTGACCAGGAAGTTTTGAGTGTTGACCAGTGTATAGAGTTACCGCAGAAAACGTTGCCGGGCGGAAAAAAGAGAACGCGGAAGAAAATCGGCGAAGGTACCTCCAGAGGTACTATTGTTCCCTTCACTCTATCCTCCCGGCCCGTCAATCTCCACTCCTACTTTTCGTTCCAACAGTACTCAAATCCGTTATATAGAATTCTCCAGTTCCACATACCTCTACTTCCCTTCTTTCCATTACCCAACATCAGGAGACGCGCATATCTTCGCTTGGCTGATCGCTCTACCACCACACCTCTTTCCCTGCTACCGCCTACCTCTTCTCTACTGCTTCGGGTTGACCGTCAGGAACCCCCTACCAAGAGTATTATCCAGTCTTCGTCAACAACCTAGCAAGATGAACCAACAAACCCCTCCCCAGAGCACCTCGCCCAGCACCCACTCCTCTCCGGCAATGGCATTGACGTCGCCTGACCTGGTGCTTTGCCATACGTTCTACATGACCAAGGACACCGTCTCCTTTGACCGCGACGCCGACACACTCATTCTCGTTAGAGGCACCTCGCCCGGCGTCGTTATACCTCCTCAGCGCCTCTTCCTGATCCGCTCTGACCATCTGTTCCTCAACTCCTCATTCTACAAGCGCCTCTTCAGCGAGAGGTGCATCAAGAACATCCCTCGCACCGACGATCATTTGAGGCTCTTCAAGATCACTCTTTCTAGCGTCGACCCCGAGGCGCTCTTCCTGATACTCCGCGCCTGTCACAACGGCTGGGTGAGCCTCCCCGCGTCGACGTTGAACGTTCTCGACCTCGTGCTCCGGATTGCAAAGACGGCGCACGATTTGGAGTTCAATATCGGCATGGCGGACCCATCTTCAACCACAGCCTCGCTGTCGTGGGCTGCGCGAGGATGGCTTTTGGATCGGAGAAACGGTCTCTTCGCAAACAACTTGGTAGATCGGTGGAAGCTGGTCAAGGCGGCATTCTACTTCGGCCAACGGAGTGCCTTCAGGCGGCTGAGCGTTGACCTGACCAAGAGACTGCCGGATCCCTTTTGGGCTCACCTGGCAGGAGACATCCGACGCGGTGTCAACATGCACTTTGAGCACCTGTTGACGAGCGAGGAGAAGACCATCATCATCGGTAAGTCCAACCTACCACCTATTCCAATCCTCCTTCCACGAATGGCAGCAACGACTAACACTTCCCTCTCCAACAGATGAAATGGAAGCCTTCCCCTTTCCAGCAATCCGCCTCCTATTCCTGTTCTACAACATCCTCCACCGCGAAGCGCCGTTCCCGCCCAACATGGCCCCGCTCCTTCCCACCTCTGCCCTCCCAGCCAGAATCACGCAGTCCTGGTCCGACCACACAAAGGCCATGTGGGACGCCCAAGTACAAGAGTCGTCGGTCTGCACTTGCTCCTGGCTTCCAAGCTACTACACAGTCTGGACAAGAGGTCTAGAACTGCATGTGGACCTGTTCGCGGAAGGTTTCACGGAACACGAGTCCCACGAGTCCCACGGCATGCTCTTCAGGAGCATAGCATGGGCGCTTGGTCATGATGTGGTGGCTAAGCCTTGGGATAAGTGCGAGGTGGGGGAGGAGCCGAAGTGTGGGTTGGCCAACGGACGAGAGGGGCATGAGGAGAAAGCGAGGGAGTTGATTGGGAAATTGAGGCGTTGTTTGTGTGGTTGGATGGTGGATGTTGAGAGGAATCCGGTTGAAGATGAGGATTCGGTTGAGGGCTCTGACAAGGACTCCGACGAGGACTCCGATCTTGAGCGCTCCGGGGTTCCGTACTCCAGGGTTCCGTACTACGACGTCGAGGTCCCCGGCGCTCAGTACCCCGACCCTGTGTACCAACTCCCACTTGAGAACCTCAACTTTGACGCACCTGACTTTGAGGACCGCGACATTGAGGACTTCCAGCTACCATGAGGACTCCGACTAAAACGTAGGAGAACCGTTGGCCAGTCGACGGGAAGAGGTTGTATGGTGACGAGGTGAATTTGACGATCGACTTTGGGGGTAAAACGCCAGACAAAGGCTTTGTTCGACAGGGAACCAAGGCCCTCTTCACATCCTGGCCGCGTCTGGGAATGGCATCACATTTGCCTTCAGAACAGGAACTTGGCTTGAGAAGCACGACGCCCGGAGTACAGCCCAGCTGGCCGACGCCCGAGTCGCCAGCCACCACACCAAGTCAGGCAAAGACCCCGCCTCCTCTCACCTCCCGAGCCTTCAGAGCCGGTGAGAGTTAAAGATGGGCAATACAGACTTCTCGGGGGCCGTTGGACCAGAGTCTTCCAATTCATCACTCCTGAAAGCCTACAGGTAGTGCCATCACCAAACTTACCTAGCCACTCGTTACAACAGCACATTTTGCCCACTCGTTACGAATTCCCATTCGTATTCAAGTTTACCGGACATAGTGCTCAGTGGTTGCGGCCTTGACAACCTCAGCGGTGGTGGTGGCGGCTTCTCCCGCGGCGGCGGTGGTGGTTTCAGCAGAGGCGGCAGGGAAGTCTAAGGTAGCCAACCTGAACCATCAATCTTTTCAGCTTTGAGTTTGAGCAGTTGAAGCAAAAAATCAAGAGACTCGAAAACATGAACCACAAGAAAGATTGAAGCCGGCAACAACATGAAGATTGACAGAACCCAATTCGATGTCCACGATCCACCCTGTTGATACCGCTAGGCAGTACGCCATCACCCCTTCTCGACTCAGCTGAGCATTCTTCGGCCGCTACTTCGTCCCCAAGGGATCAAAGTACTTCACCCAGCTTCACAACCCCCACCCCGGTCCCCAGTCAGCTGCCTTGTATGTGCTCGAGACTGGCAGGTTCGGCGTCTGCAGCAAGAAGGTCGACCTGCCGTTCTCTGAGGATTGTCCCTATTGGAGCGCGGCCATCGAAAACAACATCGGAGCTCTCCTCAAGGACCTCCACAAGAACGGACTTGGATCGCATCGCGGCGCCCTAGCTATCCAGGGAGAGTTAATTGGCCCTACCATTTCACTTCTGCTCCGTCCTTCACCGTTTATTCTGTGTGGGACATCGAGACCCTGAGCCGCTGGGCACCACCTGCCGTTCTCCGAGGATTGTCCCTATTGGAGCGCGGCAACTCTTCAACCCAACTTTTTTTTTCCCATTCAACAACTTGCAACAAGAAGGCTTGGATACAGGTACTCCTCGTTCAGTTCAACGGTTGGGACTTGGGAGTGCTATGGAGGATGGGCTGTAGGGTCGGGTGCCATAGGAAATAGAGCTTCAGGCAATCAGTTTAGAAATACAAAAGATTTTACACGAAAGGCAAGACTCTGATACTGTGTGCTCTGGTCGGGCAGCGTTTCACTCCCCATCATACCTGTAGTGACCAGCGAACCGACAGCCAGACGGGCATGCCGGCTACCAAGACAGGTACCGCGGATGATGCACTACCTAGGGAGGCAACGATCAAAACGATGGCAGCCCAGCCATTCCCTCCAACCAGGGGCACTCGAACCGCTTTTCCCTCCTTCCTGCGATTGTTCCGGTGATAAGGTAACTTTTGTTGTCTCTCAGGTCCTCTGGGCCACACTGCTTTTGGTGCTGAGCGTGAAGGACAGCTGCCGCGTCCCTGATAATGGGGCCTCTCCTTCTCTCAATTGGCGTAGGTGACCTTCACCTGCATCATGACAATCGCAGCAGCATTCGCGACCTTGGCCGCGTCGGTGTCGTGAAGGCCAGGCACAACTGCGCCAAACCTAAGTCGATGGGTGGTCTCTCGGTGCTGTCGGCCAGAGAGGAGTCGTGGAGGTAACATAGGTATGATATGGTGGGTGAGGTTCTTGGTTCTGGGTTCGGAGACTAGAGGTACGGAGTCTCAGCAGGAGACGGGATGGGGCGTGGAGATCTTTGTGTGAATGGACTCGTCGGTCGTGAGGCCAGTCTCCAGCCATGGCAGGCGGAAATGCCGGTGATTCTTGGGTTCTGGTGGTATTTAAGAGGAAGATGATGGTTATGGAGGAGGGAGGTCGTTGCGGAGCAGGAGGGAGCCTGTTGATGGGGGTGTTAGCTGTGTGTCAACGAAAGGGTGATGGTGATGTTGAGTAGAGGTACTAGTTGAGGGGGAAAGATTATGTCACCGAGGATTACTATCTCCTGGTGTTTGAGTGGTGAGGTGGTGTCGTGATATGGCAGAAGGTGAGAGGAAGAAAAGGAAACCGGAGTTGCCGTCCACTGAAGTCGGGTTCGCGCACCGCAGCACTCATCCACTCATGTCCGGCGCTGCATGTCCGGCTTGCTTTGCATACTAGAGGTAGATGTCGGTGAACTCGGGAAGCTTTATGTAGGTACAGGCAGCAGAAGGGCGGCGGATGCAACGGATTCCATCCCTGCGTCTTCATGACGATGTTGAGCATTTGATGCGGTCGTTTGACGGAGAAGTTGTTGTTGTTGCATCGCTGATAGCATGCATGCCCTGTAGAGCGCTGTAGCCCCAATGGGTTGCCTACACGGCTCGTTCATAAGACGGTCCAAAACTCCAAAGTCAGAGAGATATATGGTGGTTCAATCATTTGAAGTTGTCCAGAGGGTTTGAGACATCAAATACCCCGGCAATGAAAGTTGGAGAAAGCAGTTGTTGACTTGGAATTGTAATGGTTTTGAGGCTCTGCTAAGATGTCAAGCGGGAAAGAGCGCGGGGTTCCACTGATGCCACTTAGATGCTGTATTATCTGCGGCTGCACGGATTTCGCGGAAGCTGTGATAGTGAGGTAACAGAGCCGCATCCTGTGCTTGCCTCTCGGCAGTTCCACCGGTCCACAACGTCGACGCCGCTTTTGACTTCAAGCAACCTGTCCTCTCTCCAAATTGACGGAGACACCACACCCTTCGAAATCAAATCCTATGAACCTCTGTTTTCCGTTTCTTTTATCTTTTACATGCCTTCCGTGTTGTTCTCCATTTTCTGTCTTAAGATCTCGCGACACCCGACATCGGAGAGAGTGCATCAACTGACGCGGTAGAACAAAACATGTCCATCTTCCGAACAGGCAGGCGCCACTCATCTATAGACGGGAAGCACTTGCGAGCAACATGCCAGAGTCATATCTGACTGCGATGATACCGCGCACGCCATGACACATCTCGTATGTCACTCAACTGCAAACAGTCAACAAGATTCCTTCGATGATGAGACACGAAACAGCAACGTCACAAGTTTCGAGTCACACGAGCAATCACTTATTCAGCACGCAAGTTGTTTTCAAGTTTTTTTTTTGTTCTTTTATATCTCTACCATACAAGCCACCTCCACCCCCCCATCACGCTTCCGCCGGCGACCTCCCCTGCTCCATCCCCGGATGCCCAGGACGTACCCGGACAGTCCAGCGACGGAGCATCGTGTTCCTGGACAGACCGCCGACGGAAAGCGGCCTCCTCCCCCTCCCACCCCCCTCCTACCACCAGAAGACTGATCCAATGGGTTCTTCTTCTTGTAAGCACCCTTGTCCTGGAGGTACTTGATGGCTTGGACAATGGACAGATCCTCCTGCTCCTTGTCGTTTAACAAAGTAGACCGCGGTGGGTTTGGGTCCAGCCTTCGCGGATACACTTAGCGGGTTAAGAGCAAGCGCTGCTGGAGGGTCATCTTTCCTCCGTTGAGTTGCCGACTAAAAGGTTGCTTGCGTGATGCTGTTGGGATATCTTGGGTTGTCGAGGATGGAAGTTTGGGAAATAATGGAGGATCGCTCGGGGTCGCGGGTCATGTACAAAACGGCACTTGCCCCGCTTACCACAATTTCCACCAGTCGAGTAGTACTTGCAGTGCTTCGACTGGTCAGCCTTCCTGGCCACCGGGGGGACCACAGACTCTTCCGGACGAGTAGTCAAGACTTCCGGCTTCTCGTCGTCGGACTTTGAGATCGTTGAAGTACGTGCACGTGCGCGCCGCGGCCTCGTACATCGGTGTGCTCAGGTCGCCGTTCTTCCCCCAGGATGGAGCGGCAGCACCCGGCGAGCGTCAAGGCGCGCGAGCTGGAGAAGATGCGGGCCAAACTGGAGGCCAAGTTGTCGAAAGATGCCAAGGCAAAGTTGAAGTCGAAGTCGAAGTCGAAGTCGTCCGGGGGTTCGTCTCGCTGGGCTCTGTTGCCTGTTGTTGGGGCCTCGGAGGGTAGGCACCTGGCTGGGGCCGGGCCGGACTTGTACGTGCCTCCCCGACACCGCCCCGAGGGTTGCCTTGGGAGCGATGCCGGGAGGCGGCCATACGACCGCTTTCCCGTCAGATCTCCCTTCCTGCTGTGGCCTGCGTTTGCACTTTGCCTACGATGCACGCAACAGATGCACCTGGCCCCGGCATCGCAATAGACATCCAGTATCCGAGATACCTTGAATCTGGTGGGGGCACCGAGAACCTTGGGCTTGGGAAGGAAACGCTCGAGTTGCGGGGCCAGCGCCAAAGTCGGGAATGATTTTGACGTTCTGGACATGGCCAGTAGTCTCGAAAATCTGCCTCAGGACGTCCTCCGTGACTCTGGGGTCGAGGCCCCCAACGTAGAGAGCGCGCTTGTTGGGCTCGGGGGCCGGCGGCCGAAGCGATTACCGAGGGATGATGGAGACCCATGCTCGCGTTGCCGACGAATCCGTGTTGGGCCAGGTTGCCGATGACAAGGCGACCGAAGACGTCCCGCGGGTGAAGGCAGCCCCTGCTGCAACGGTCGAGGTGTCCTACGAAAGGGCGAAGACTGATCCCACCAATGGTGAGGGGCACCATATGGCTGCGGAGGATAAGGGGCCGGAGCAGGCGGCTGCGCAGGTGCGCCATCGAAACCCATCCTGATAGTGCACCCGGAGACTCGCCGCAGTTGTAGCTCTTGGAGCCGTTGACGCAGTGACGTCTTCCTCGGGCGTCGCACGTGGTGGTGATGGCCTCGCGGCTGCCCACGCCACATCACCTCTGCGGCTGTCCCGCCGCAAGAAGAGTCAGAGAGGTGGTCACGGTGGGACTTTGGGTTCGGCGGCAACTCGGGGTTGGAGATGATCGGAACTGGAACGGCGCGTCGCCTATGGAACTTTGGTCAGCTTGGTTCAGAATACGTGGACAACATCAGGTGAACTCACGGGACATGTGGCCGATGCCACCGCAGGAGCCGCTCCGTTGCTGCGAAGCGCAGCGCGGGTCCAACGACCGGTCGGGAGACTTGGAAGAGTGGTATGCCCAGAGGGTAGAAGTGACCATTGTTTCGATGGCTTCGAAAACCGCCCGCTGTTCTTGCATGTTAGCAGATGATCAAAAAGTGAGATGAGAGATGACATGAACATACCGGCAACGGCACTTGCCCCGCTTACCACAGTTACCGCCAGTCGAGTAGTATTTGCAATGCTTCGACTGGCGGCAACTGTGGTCTGCCTTCCTGGCCCCAGGAGGGACTACTGTAGCGCCCCCGTCGGTGGTCCCAGTCACGGGCCTGATGGGTACTGGACCACTGTTGATGTTGGTCAGTATATGAGTTGAAGGCGAGGTGAACACGATCCAAACTTGGAAAATCACTTACCCGACGGGACGCCATACGGCGGGCAATAGGTATCGATCAGTGCATGGCGGATGGGTGAAGGGAGAGGGAAGACTCTCTTCATGCACAGAATGTGTGACCCTAGGGCATGGGACGTTAGTTGACACCAGATGATGGAGGAGTGAGACGATGGAAAAAAGGTGAACGATGAACAAGATGACCGCGAGAAAAACCTTGATCGGCGGGGTTCAAGATCAAAGGAAGGGAAAACAAGAAGAAGAGCAAGATACTTACTTCATGAGCCTGGGCCTTCTCCCTCGCGGGTGCTTTGGCTTCAGCCATGGGAGGCTGCCCCCCTAGGGCAGGTCGGGGGTGGTTTTTGTGGTGAGATATGAAGCAAGAAGAAAAGAGAAGAAGAGGAAGAAAGGAAGAGGGGAAGGTTTAAAAGGAAGTGTGGGAGAAAAGAAAAAGTGTGTGGGACTGGGAGGGCGAATCAGGGTGGAGCCCTGCCTGCATGAAAGGAGAAGTGACTTTGGTACTTCTGGTGTCACCTGGCTGTGTGAGGCGGCCGGGGCAAACCAGATGACGCCAGCCCTGTTTTTGATCAGACGATTTGAGGATTTCTGTCTTGATCCACTGCACAGTATGCCTTCACGGTGGCACAAGGTCTGGCTTGGGATGACTGAGGCGAGCAAATTGTTGAGAAGTTGTTTGTTTCGAGATAAGATGACAAGAAAGTGGTAGGCTAGATCCCCACCTCGAGATATGTGGAGGTGCTGATCGAATTTGGAGGAAGTCCAAAAGCCTTGTTGGTCAGACGGTCAGCCCGCCGAGCCTCAAGGAGCCCTATGTGGCGCTGTGGCACGCCCCAGCACCGGGAGTAGTTGTAGGATTGTCCTCGTTGAGGCTGAGTCTGCTGTCACTTGAAGGGGGACATGTACAGGGACGTCACAATGGATTCTGAGGCTAGACTGAATACAGAATCTAGATCAGTTGATCGTGAGCTTTTACACTCGTAAAGACAGCGCTTGATAATGTGACTTCCGGTTGTAGCGAGAATCTAGATTCGGTAGTAGTGTCGGGTAACTGCGTGAGAGTGGGAAAGCAGGGATGGGGTCAGATGCTGAAACGGTCGCCGGTGAGTTTACTGGGCACTCGTGATCGGTGGCAGCAATCTTATTCCTGAACCATGACCTTGTCTTTTCTATCACATCCCTGCCGTCGACCTTTGCCCTTTTCCCAAATCCCAACCGCAAAGTGATACCTGCGGCAAGGCATTCTGAACAACCCAAAAGGACTCCCCCACAACAACCAAGAATCAAGACTCACTTCGCGTACCAAACTCGCCGTTATGAAGATCTTGACTTTTCTTTTCTTTGCGGACGTTGTCCAAATTTCCACTTGCGACAGAGCCTTGCAAGCGGTTCTGAAGCTCGATACTCCCCAAGCCTTGCGGATCCGCCGCGACCGCTTCTCAACAAGACAGTACAGTCTAACCACACGTCACCTCCACGACGCCATTTCTGAAGTCTCCAAGGAGTCTTCTCTTCTCAGAGCAATCCAGATCGCGAGGGGCTCCCAGACTCCCCCCTCCAGTGCCTCCGACAAGCCCCACAACCAGGAGACTCGCTGATCGTCCCCCGCGACCCAAACAACCTTCCATCGCTTGAACCCCACTACAAGGTAAGCCAGAACCTCCAAAGAATCACTCGCCAGCAAAAGAAGTTCTGCCTCGCAAGCACAGTCGCGCTGGATCCAGAGCTAACTTGCAACCCCGACAGCTGAACCACTGTTGAAGCAGGTCAACTGAAAGCTCATATGGGTGCTCGTCGCAACAGTCCCAGAACGCCCAGCCAACAAACAGTACATCCTTCTCCGCGTATTACCTCAAGCTCAAGATGAAGGTCAGTGAAATTTCTTCCTAGCAAAAGTAAGCACTACTTGTATTGCTGTTGAACTCTTCACCGGTCCAAAATCATAGAGGATCTCCTAGCTTGACACTCGACCGGCAGCTCCTTTCCTACTTGAAATGAACTCCTTGACTAACCCCTTGTGTTTCAGTGTTTCGCCGCTGATCCCGAATACCTCTGAATATGGAAGAGACGTGCAAGAGGAAGGCAGGCTGGTTCAAGCACGAAGCTTTCGTGATGACAGCGGCGGCTGCACCAAGCAGCGATGTAGATAACTCAAGTTCAATCAAATAAGGGTTTGAGATTGACTGAGTGGGTCAAGTAAAGAAGTTGAATTGCTTGATTGCTTGATTGATTAAGTAATTGCCAAGAATAGTGGGGCTCATAGATAACCCTAACCCTGACCCGACATCGCTCCCGAAAGTCCGGACCGCGGGCAAAATGAACAACTTTTACTACCAAAAAACTTTTTCTGCCGGGCGGCCAATTAAAGTCAATCAAATTGACGATATATAATTACTTGATTGAGTACAGGGAGACCTCGATTTGATTGCTTGAATTTGCTTGATTGCTTGAACTTGGCTTGGCAACTTGACTTATCTACATCGCCGGCACCAAGGGCTCGAGGAAAGATGAAGCGATCGACTATTTCGCGCGACTCGTAGACAATACACAAGGGGTGGCAGACAGGAGGTCGTTTGGGAGGAAACCTTAGCATGGACAATGTGGCGTTTTGGTAGCAGATTGGAAGAATGGCTTTGTTTGCGTGGGTCGGCGTTGGGCGATCAAAGGAAATTTCGGGAGGGGCTCCAACTTGGGTCAAGACTCATTTGCAGGAAACGTCGTAATGAAATGATACTTGATATTCACGTGGATTAAGGACTAAGAAGGATCAAGAGAACGCAATTGCCGACTGATTGAACATTTCGTGGTGTTGTGCTGACCGAGTGTCCTGGATGACTTGGGCCTGCCCCGCACCGTCGCGGGCCACGGACAGATCTCGCCCACACGTTTTCTCGAATTTTCTCGCTGCAAACAATAACGAGAATTTCATTTTCAGAGGCAAGGAATCCATTAATTGGGAAACGCGGATGACTTATTCCTGGTTCTCGTGATTGAGTGTCACCGAAGAGACATCGTTCAATCCTGACAGTGGCCATTTGAGGACGTGCCCAACTTCAACTTGTCTTCCTTTTTGAAAATCCGAAAGGAAAAGAAAAAAGAGAAAAGAAAACATGCAATATTGATCAAGCATCAGAAAGGTGTTTCTCCGGGATCCAGAGAATCCGAGCAAGCCAGTCAGTCAGTCGGTTGCCATCCCGCCGCTGCCGCTGCCGGTGCCATCAGTGTCTTGTCATCATCTGCAAAGCACCCAGCCGTCATGGATTGCCATCTCCACTTCCAAAAGTTGTAAGTAGAAGAAAATTGTCTGCCAGGATCGGTATGAAGATCCAATGATCAAATGCCAACGCTGCAGGAGAGCAGCGGCCAAAAACGAGGTCAGTTGAAAGCGATCTCAGTCCTTGAGGAGCGCCCTCAGGAGCGGTAACCACTGGGTCCTGCAATACTGATAATCTATCCAGCTTTGAAGAGAATGAAAGAGGGATAAAGAGGCGGAGCTTCACCATTTTTGATCGAGTGTCCAGGGCGAGTTTCCACAGGGATTGAGGAATCAGGAGAAAACGGATTTGTAATTTTTGAGGAGCTATCGACAAACACATGGTAGATAGAGTGACCTTGTGCAATTCCGAGTGCCATGTGCTTTGAGAGCGACACGAAAATTGGTGCTTGTGATGGTGATGATCGAGTGTCTGAGGTGGGTCCACGCCGCACTCCGGGATTTGGGCGATGCTTTCTTTCACATTCAGGACGCACAACTCGGAACAAAAGATCTGCAGGTTTCCTGAATACTCTTACATCCTTCAGAGAGCCACTGGGAGGTGATAGTATGTTTTTTCTGGTGTTGGTGGTCGTCCCTACCGGGGCGGAGGCCTGGCGTCGGAGTCGCAGTTGGCGATGAAGGTCTCCCGCAGTCTCCAATTTTCACACGAAAAATGGGCAATGCACGACAAGGAAGCAGGGAACAGCTTTGGCTCCAACTCTCCAGAACTCTCGCTATATTCGATCTTCAACGGCTGTGGGCAAGTTTTCTGCCCCCCCCATGAAGTTCACGATGTCACCTGCAGTGATGTCATGATGCCGTTCGCGGTTGCTTTCGGACCGTGAGCTCCAGAGCAATAAGCACGAGGAATCACGGCAGTGCAGGTGGTCAAACAATGCAGCAGATGGGTCACACATTCAGCTTCATCAAGTCCTCACTTCCTGATGCCCTCTCTGGCGATCGGCGATCTCGTAGACCCAACTGCCGGCTTGGTGATCCTCCAATGCTCCTTCCGGAAGCTCTCCACGATCATCAACCTGCTCTCAGATCTCTCCCATGACTGCACCGCCTGTCTCAACACCTCGTCACCTCATCCTCTTACTCAGGGCAGGCACTCCCGGCAGACCCCCTGTTCATTTCCTTTCTCCTCACTTCTAGACTCCTGCCCCCACCTCGGGTACATCGGTACTTCGTCTCGATCAGCTCTCTCGCGCTCCTGCTATCTCATCGGTCCCGAGCAGACACAAAGATCCGTGCTGGCTACCGCTACTCCCACTGTGATCTGTGGCTCGTCTTGTTTGCAGCTGGACTTGAGTCACTTGACGTAGCACAACCTCCACGGATCTGGAGGAAACTCGAGATGAAAAGCACTCTGGTTCCAAGAGGAGAGCCCCGTTGAAGTTTGGAGAGCAAACGCAGAACGCTTCACTGGTTCCTTCCGTCTTCCTTCTACCCAGGAGGTAGAACTCGTCACCTCCTGCGGCATCAGATCTTCTGAGGAACCATTTGTCATCCTGCGTGCACAATCTGGACGAGAGAACGAAGGGACGAATGGGCAGCACACAACCTTCCATAGCAAGCAAACACCTTTCTCCAGGGCCTCGATCTGATTCCACCACTGATCGTCAACACAAGCTTCTTGATGAGAACACATCTTGGGACGAAGTACTGTTCCGAATATCATCCAACCTGTGAGAGCTTCGATACAATACAAACCTGGAACTCATTCCGTCCCAAGACTCAAGAACAATTTGTCAGCCTCGTAGACCCCAAAGCAGCCTGGAATGTGCGCCTTGCCTCCATAGGCCTGTAGGGTACTCAACAGAAGTCACCCGTCTGGCCATGAGCAGGGGTTGGGGCAGAAGACAACGGGATGAACTGTCCTTCTTCTATTGTCGAGCTCCTTCCATCAACCCTTCATCTCTTCTCGCGAGCTGATTTGACAAACCGAATGGCATCATCTGCATGGTCTCCACTCGGTGCTATTGAGGTACTCGTGTGACGTACCTTAAGCCGTCTGGAAGTCAGAAAGATCGAACGACAGGAGTCTGGACTGATGTACGTGACCAAAGTACCAGTCCCCAGCCTCCTTCCTCCGTCGTGCTTGCTTGATAAGCCCCCCGGACTCTCGACTCCTCGACACTTGATTGGTCCTGGTGGGTTGAGAACCTCGACAGCCTGTTGCCTTTTCATGTCCGAGTGACGTATATTTCGTGCTTCGCAATCTCAAAGCTCGGCTCATCAGAACTCTCCTGCCGGTTCTGCGTGTGGGTCAGAGAATCTTGTGCGTGTCCAAGTCGGCTATAATGCTGTGACTCCCACCAAACTCCCGCTTCAACAACCTCTTCAAGTCTCTGGACGATTCTTTTCGTCGCACTTCACATCTGTCACGAAGAGTTGAAGAACTTTGTGGCCTTCCTTCTCATCCCATCTTCGTTGTTTCGCTTTCTTTCCCCTGACGCACGACTGTGTGGCTCAACAGACGGTTCTTCTTTCGAGCTGCGGGGCAGATGGTCCTCCCAGAGGGCTATAAAACCCCCCTCCCCCTCTTCCCTTTTCCTCCTTCAAATTTTTCCTCCTCCATCCAACTTTCTTCCCACGACAAGTTTCTTCCCCCTCAAGCTTCTCGGCTCCGCCTTTGCGGGCTCTCGAAGCACAGCATGGCCACTCGGCGTACAAGGAGATGCAGGAACATGCCGAGATGTTGCAGAACGAGGCCAAACGTGGTTTTGAACGCAATTGTCGGCTTCACTCTGGTTGACAACAACTTCGCCATCGAAGTCATGAACTGCAAGTTGACCATTTCTGTCTTTATCGAAGCACAACCATTTCCCCTGTGATGAGGGCACTCAACCGTCACCGGCTGTAAAGCTCGGCGGTTCTCATGACCTCGCACCTGGCCTGTGAAGCCGGTGTTTGGAAGGCATGAAGATACTTTGCCATCGCGGGGCTTCGGCCTCCCTGCAGTGCCATCTCCCCCTCGTTCTCGCTTCACCATGCCGTCACTGCACCGTTTCCCATCCCTCTCACCTCACCATTTCCTTTGTCTCTCGCCTACGGGCATATTGCATTTTTCTTCCGATTTGATTTTTCTTTCTTTGGTTATTGTCACTTCACTGGGACCACATGGCATTTTGAGGGGAACACACTTGCAATGCTTCTCTTTTCCTCGTGCTCTACATGACTTCAGTCTGCTAACAGTTCGAGATGCACAGCTACCGGCCAACAACACTTGCATCGGCTACGTCCGCCCTGGAAAGCACGAAGCTCCTCCTTCTCGGATTCTTGGAAGGGCTGGCACAGACGATTAGGTATGACTTTCTGAACCATAACCAGCTTCTTTGCAACAAGGCTAACATACCCCTGCATCACAGAACACTCACTCAAGCTGTGTCGGCGCACATTGCACATCACTGCTGTCCCCTGACTCTCCGCGCGAGGTCAAGGACTGGACTCCCGCTGAGTCTCTCAGCAACCATGCCGAAGCATACCAAGCTGCCAAAGAGGTTCTGGATCGCCAGAGAGCAGATATCAGGCTTGATATTGAGATGAAGCGAGCAAAGACAGAGTTGCCGGCTGAATGGTGGAAGAAGCTGTCTAAGGGTGAACTTGGAACGGATGCTAGGCAGCGAGGATCGCCCCCGCCCGAGCCTACCCTGACAGCCGTGAAAGCATCTGAGCTGGCGTTCGTCGGTCATCCTTCCGAGCTTGATCGGTTCACACTCATAACGCCGACCTTCATCACTCACGCTCACCGAACGGAGCCTTTGCACCTTCTACACAACACAAGACACGGACTTGCTCCTTTCAGCTCCACGTCTCAGCATCCCCTGGCAATCTCACAGCCTGTAGATCACCAACCACCAGTTGTACATCAACCACAGCAGCGGCCTCAGTATCAGCGGCACCAACAACCGCTGCTCATTGTTTCATCCGTGGACACAACGCCCGTCTCGTCATCGGCCAAGCAAAACAAGCATCACACGTCTCCAAGTGAGCCAGATGGAGTCCTCAGTCTTCTTCAAGTTCAAGTCTCAGAAAGAGTCCACCTCAACACAACACAAAAGGCGGACATGCTCCTCTCACTTCCATGTCTCGGGGCCACAGTCAATGGCCAACGCAGTCAGCCTTTGACTTGAGTGTCTAGGCTTGCCTTCGGCGTGGTGACACTCCTGGACCCTGTTTGGCTCGCATCAACCTAAACTCAATATGGAGTCCTCGGTCGCGCTTCTGTGACACAACTTCTCGTCCTCTCGCATCTCTCTCTTCCATCAGACATCGGCTCTTCACATCACATCCAACGTGCCCACCGTCTTCGAGAACTACGTCCTGGGCATGACGTTAAACTGCCCTCACCATCAGTGACCGGTGCGCTGCGGGCCTAGACTCTGCCCAGCCCAAGCCATTCACAAACGGCGGGTGTAAGACCGTCGCAGTGCTAGGTCAGCTACCGTGGTCACTTCCACACACCACAATGTCCAACTCTCAACGTCACAACCACCACAACAACCACAACAACAGCCCACCCAACAGCCGTCCGGTCCACCAGGGCCTCATTCCAACTCGTGGATTTCGCAGACAACCCAAGAGGAATCCACTCAGCATTCTTCCTCCGCCCAGCCGCAAGCTCAAGGCCCGAAACTTCTGGCCCCTTCATCAGGGGTCAGTAAGTGGGCAGCCTCTGCGAGCTGGGCTTGGGACCGCGACGGCTGTGACTCCGGTCCACCAGGCACCCATGCCGGTTTCGGTGTTTCGACATCATCAGTCGACACTTTCCCCTTGCTCTTCTGTGCAAGATATTTCGCATATCTTCCAGTCTGTTCCAACCAGCCCATGATCACATCACACTCAACTTGTGATTGTGGTCGCCCAGCCTGCGAGCTTAAGGCCCCCAAGCTGCTCTCCCCATCAACTGGGGCAGAGTAAGCGGGCAGCGACCGCAGGCTGGGCTTGGGACCGGAGGTGGGCGTTTCGATGTTGTTTTGTGGTGGTTGTGTTTGCCGGTCCAAGGGCGTTGCGCGTGTTATTGTCGTTCCGGCGACATTGGGGTGCCCGCTTGATTGGGGTGGCCGGCGTATTGCGTGCAAGAGGAAGAGGGGGCGCGATGCGGGGGCGGAATTGTGGAATATGCAACCACGGATGGCTGCCCGCTGATCTAATTCTGGCCAACTCCAAGGGACATGCTACACGCCACTTCCATCCCATATCCAAACCACCAGTGCGCGGGGGAGGGGGGAGGGGATGCGCCAAGCTTACAAGAGCGATCTTACTGCTGCGGTGGTCCGCGTGGGTGATGGTGGGGAGGAGGAGAAGTTCGAGGGGGAGGGCGAGGAGGAGGAGGACATGCATGGGGTCTGTGTGTGTGGTGGGCGTGGTAGTGGTGGTGGTGGTGGTGGTGGACATGTTCTTGGTCTTTGTGGTTTGTGTTGAGGCGGTAGCATGGCTGAGCGATCTTACTGCCGCGATGGTCCGCGTGGGTGATGGTGTGGAGGAGGAGAAGTTCGAGGGGGAGGGCGAGGAGGACGAGGACAAGCATGGGGTCTGTGTGTGTGGTGGGCGTGGTAGTGGTGGTGGTGGTGGTGTTGGACATATTCTTGGTCTTTGCGGTTTGTGTTGAGGGCGGTAGCATGGCTTCTTCGCTGCTCCCCATGGCGGAGAGGACTCCTTCGCTGCTCCCAAGCGGTGGGTGGGTTTGTCTGAGTAATGTAGCGGGGGGCGGACGACGGACTGTCCGTTATCCAGGCTCTCAAGTATCTTCAGGATAAGGGTGCTTACAAGAAGATACTTGAGGGCCTGGACACCCCCATTTGTCTCTTTTTGGATAGGTGATTTGGACATTTGGTTGAGGACTTGATTGATTATTTGGGTTGGACACTTGTTTTGCATATTTGGTTTGGACATTTGACTGGGACATGTTCTTTGAGAGGTGCGTTGGATAGGTGTTTTGGATAGGTGGTTTGGGCATTTGGTTTGGGCATTTGATTTGGACATTTGGTTGAGCATTTGGTTGGACATTTGGTTGAACATATGATTGAATATTTGGTTTGGACATGTGGGTTGGACATGTGGGTTGGACATTTGGTTGAGCACTTGGTTGAACAAGTGCTTCGGGTGCGTGCTTTGGATAGTGGCGTTGGTTAGGGTCTTTGGATGGATGTTTTGGATAGAAAGCATAGCGTGGCTGCATTTATGGCGTTGTGGTTGCATTTATGGCGTTCCGGTTTTGCTTGGGAAAGGCGGTTTCGGCGGTGGCGTAGCATGGAGTTGGATGGCCTTGGACATAGGGTTTGGATATGGGTTTTGGATAAGGGCCTTGGAGTGGTAGCATAGTGGTAGCATAGTTTGACATTTAATCGTTTGGATACTTTCTTCGTGGCTCCTGATGCGTGTGATGACCATGTGACTTGTCTCTCACTTGGCAAGTGTCTTTATCTCTGGTGGCACTGATCCGTATGATCTTTGCTAGAGGTATCCTGTGCCGGATTGTGTTTGAGCTCCTCGCAAATCTTCGCGGTGACGGCTCTCAATCGCAGGACTGAGAATACCATTTCTTGACTCAGCCCTGGTGAGTGCTCGAGAGCACGCAGACTTAAGACAAGAGGATGTCTCCTTCATTCAAGTAAGCGTCGGTTCTCGATATAAACCCAAGACACCCAGATGGAGGAAGGACTGGGCTTGAACCAGGAACAACAGAAGTGTTTCTCCATGAAAGAATGCAGACCCCTGACCTGGATGATAGAATGAAATGGCCGTGCTAGGACATAGAGCGGAGGAAAGGGTGTGAAAGGTGCGGTTAATATGACTTTGCGTACCACGCGGTGTCCTGGTGAAGATGGTTGATGATGAGAAAGATGAAATATCATGACTTTTGAGGAGATGTGGTGAAAAGTGATAGAGGTTTATGAACACTGTTTTCCAGAATTGCGCAGGATCCGAGAAAGGATTGTGGTGGAAGAGGACCTCTAGCACAGGAGGAAGACTTGAGCTTGGAAATCATGTTGTTCTGCCCTCCTATTTAGGTGAACAACTGGTCCTTGTGTTGGATTGTGAGATACTGATGTTCTCATCTTCAACACTTTTGACTGATGAAATTCGCGATGGAAATGCCTGAAGTAGTGCACTTCCTTATCCGTGAACCATCTGAGCTTCGTCTTGGTCCGCTATGAACCACCGACTTTCTGCAATGGGCTTTGAGAGAGCTGGGCGAATGTCAACATCGTCAAACACCACACCTCGAATCCCGCGATGTTAACAACTGACAACACCGTCCCCTGATTCCTGAATGACACTTGTACGGGCTTACAAGCTTGATGCTTGATGAATCGCGGAGTTTGGACTCGTTGGCTCCTTGGACTTGGGAAGCCCCTGAAGGTGAGTGGAGATTGGAGTTCGTGGAGTCGTGGCGGGGAGTCACGACGAACTGGTGGAGTAAGTCGTTGGTGTTGACCGTTTGTTTTGTTTGCAAATGATTTGATGCAAGCGGTGTTCATCGACCTTTTCGGTCTGGGCAAGTGGATGGGAATGTGGAATGGAGAATGCAAGATGTTCATCGGTGAGATGATGTGAATGCCCTCAGCGGGTCCGGGCGGCAAGCGTGAGTAGCGGTGTTAGCTGTGTTAGTGCTGACTGTTTGGCGATGTTAGTGTTTGGATGGGAAGTTCCGTCGGGATTTCGAGATTGCATTCCTCTCCATCGGTTCCTTCTTTGTTGTCGATGTTCTTTTAGCAATTGTGGAAGATATGCTGAAAGGCGCCATTCAAGTTCTGTCTTTTACCTTTGCTGAAATTTTGAATCGTGTCGTGGCAGGACAGTCGGCGGTTGGAACACGCTTTCAACGTTGCGCCGACTCAGGCAGTAACAGGCGCCATCACGACGCTTGAGTGGCTCTAACTGTACTTCGCTCGGTCACCAACACCGTCCCGTCCTCGACTTCGTTACGCCTTTTCCCAATGTTCACCGATCTCACCGATTTCACCGACCAAAAAATTCCTCATCGTGGTCTCCAACCCAAATGGAAATTTCGCCATCGACTTTTAGGCAGGCTAGGCATGATATCCACTTCATATCCGGAGTTTTCATACACCTTCCCCCTCAAGAAATGGCGGCATGAGAAACGTTCTGGCTTTGGGTTTAGCGGTTGGCTCGTGCCAAGGCGCCGGGCCGCGAGCGGCGTGGAGACATAATGGCCGGGGGTCCGGGGTCGGGGTCGGGGCCGGGGCCGGAGGCTGGGGTGGCCAGGCGAGGAGCAAGGCGGACTGTTGGGCGGGCGAGATCTCGTTGGCCGCTTCTTAACATCGTTCTTTCCTTGCTCTCTCGATCAAAACTTGGCCGTTCAACATGGCGATGCGAACCCCGTCGGGAATGACCTCACACTTGCATTCAATGCATGTGTCAACGGCAGCCAACATCTGTCCCTCCCGAAATCCTCCCGCCCCCCGTGAAATGGACCAATCCAGACCCCATGCTGATCATCACCCGTTTCCCCGCAAAGTGCAGGCCTCTGCAGGCCTGGACGAGCCTAAAGGTAACCTAAAAGAAACCTAACTGTTCGCTAAGTGTTCGGTAAACATCCGCTAGCTATCCGCTAGACTGAAAGTGAGGAATGGTGATGTCTTCCCTGACTCAAGCCTGGGAAAAACTGCAAAGGAGGCCGAAAGGGGAAGAGGTTGGAGAGATTAGCGGTTGTTCACGTGAAGAGGTTGGAGATTTGCGCATCACAGCCATGGTGGATGACGATGATTGTTGATGGATGGTGTTAGGGATGATGTTTGGTGTTAGGGAACTTCACCTTGGAAGCTGAAGAATGACTGCGACAGTTGACGTCGACGGTCCCAATCGTCCGATTGATCGCCCTGATCGCCTTCATCAATCATCAACTGCCGTACTGGGGTGTACAGCCCCAAAAGCCACGCCTTTTTTGCCACGAGCTCGACGACAGAGTTCCGCTGATAAACCCTGATAGGCGTTCGTCTTCTCTTGAAAAATGTCTGTGAGACGCCTCCATCATTCGTTGGGCGTTCATCGCATCTCGTCGATGTCAGCCATTGATGCCAGTCATCGAGTTACCTGTGGCCTCCCGGCCAAGCCTCAAAGCCACACTGCCACAGGCCCGATGTTTTTGGATTCGGAGGCCGGGGATGGCCAGGTTTTGTGTTTTGCTTTTCTTTGACTCTTCAAGCGCATGACGTCGACTCCGTCAATCATTGAAGCAATTCCAATCGGCGCTACCGAAGCATGCCAACTTATGATGCCAATGCCGCTCGCGGCTTGCTGAAAGACACTGAATGCGCTGAAGGTATGGTGCAGGGAAAGATTCAAGCTGAATTACCTTCACCAAAAGGGCCCTGCTAGGGGCGCACTAGTTGTTTTGTTTTCCCCCGAGCAAAACAACTAGTACGCCCCTAGCAGGGCCCAACCAAAATCGCATAAACAACGCTTTCTGTTTTTGTCCATGATGAAACTGTTTCGATGGAATGAGGGATTGTTTGGTTGTAGCTCTGTCTCGGATGCATGCCTTGCAAACCCAATCAATTCCACAAAGCTGAAGTGCACCATCAGTGGAGCTGTGTTAGTGATGTTTTTGGTGTTTGCGCTGGTTTCAAAATTCCATGTGCCGCCGAGATCAAAGGCAACAAAGAAATGCAAAACATGCGAGACATGCAAGACATGCAAATCATCAAGTGCAGAAGTGGCAAAGTTCAGGTACGTGAGACACAGGCATGGATCCAAGATTGGGTTGCCTCTGAGATGTGAAAGAAGAGCCGCCGTTACTGTTTTGACAGCGGCTGTTGATTGTTTGTGGACATTGAAAGGAAGCTGTCGTAGATTCGTTATCGACAAGTTTCCCAGTCATCTTTTCGTCAATCTCCTTCGCTACTTTCGAAGCTGCAAATTGGTGATAACGCCATTAGCAGGTGTCGTAATCATAACACGGAGGTAACCTCCCAACCCAAACAAGCCAGCCCAACCCAGGCCATAATCGGCCGTGATAATGCCCTTTTTGATGCGCCCCAAACGCCGTGACTCCGCGTCCTTGCCGTGTCCCATACCGTGAGCCCAACCGAAACCGCCATGAAGATGTCGTGATACAAAAGGAATACAAAGGAGATCCCACCCGCCGAGATGTTCACATCATCTGCAAAAACTCCAACCGTTCCTGCTCCTCCTCCTCTGCCTTCCTCCTCCTCTCCTTCTCCTCGGCACTATCCATATCCACCTCCATATTTCTCCCCGGTGTCCTCCCATCATCCTTCGGCCCCGCGCCACCATAGCGATACACCTCCGGCGTGGCATAAGCCGAATAAGCAGGGTTGACATTAGGGCGGATGACGGGGACGGCGACAGAGCCGTGGCCGGTTCGCGAGCTGCCTCTGTAGAGAGTGCTGTCGGAGGAGGAGACCTTTTCGAAGTCGGTGGAGAAGGAAGAGTCGGCGGAGGGAGAGTGTTTGTGTTTGTGGTCGTGGTCGCGGTAGGGACGCGGGCCGTGACGTTGTTGGGAGGTGAGGAGGGAGTCGTCTTCTGGCTTGGAGGAGCGCCGGCGGAGGCGGCGGAAGAGTCGTAGGCAGTCCATGGTGGTTTGGGTTGTGTTTGTGAGAGGTTTTGATGATGCGGTAGTGGGGTTGTTTTGTAGGTGCGTAAACACAGATTTTGAGGTTGCGACTCGTCGAGGTCTTGTTTCTAGGAGAGCTCTTTGTTGGGCGATCGGCGAGTCGAAGTCGATCTCGAGGACGAGGGCAAAGAACAGCGGCCTGTCAGACTGAATACGGGATGCTGACAGGAACTCTGCTGACGATGTAAGCAGAGAGGAAGAATGACGGACAGACGGTGTCGCGATGATGAGTGGTACACCAGCAAAGCCAGAGCAAACCACGGACTGAATAGAGGGGGAATCCTTGGGCTTAAGAGGTCCGGGAAACAAAGAGAACTCGTCTTACACACTTTCTCAGTTCGGATCATTTGTGCAGGCCTAACCGCATCTGACGACATCCTAGCAACAACCCCTGCTCCTGCAAGCTAGTATGCAGAGGTAGTACGGAGGTACGGCAATGCCGTAGCTAGTGCTCCTACCCAAGCTACCCCAAAGTTGTAGTGAGCTGCCCCTGTAAAAAAATGCGGGGAGCCAAGCGGACCTGGAACAAGCCCAACAAGCCCCCAGCGAGCACAGCGGTCCCGTGTGCAACCAACTCCGCCACGAAATTGTTAGCAGCTGTTAGTGCATCACACACTCTGATCTTTTCTACAGCCGGACATTCAAGGAGTCCACACCACATTCCCGGGCAGGCTTCAACATGGAAATTTGTTTCTGTTCCTGTCGTGAACCATGCCAGCCGTCTCTTCGTCCGTACCAAACAACAAATCCGCCGCGGTTATTTTTGACATTCAAGCACGGGAATGTTTCCTGTCGTCCAACATTCCCAACGTCGAAATCCTCCTGCAAGTCCCATGCCGCAAACCATTCTCCCGAGATGCTAGCCAAGATTTGCTGACCTCCTACGTCCGTCTGCCAGACTCCCCACGATGTGTTACACACCAGTATCACCGACCGTTTTCCTCCCCACAAACAATCTCGAATAAAACTGGATCAAGGGATCATTACGCCGTACCACTTCTCCAGCTACAGCAGCATCATCACGACTGATACAAAACTCGGGACCCGGCAGATGGGGTTTCAGGAAGATCCAACCGACCCAGCTCACCCACCTAGCTGTTAAGATCGACAATCGATTATTAGCAGCCCAGCAGAAGGGGACGGGATGTACAGTAACATTATGCAGCACAGCACCCGTCAACCCGTCCATCCCGTCCGTCAATCCGTCAGTGGCAGGCCGCCCTCAATACAACCCTTCGCAAGCCTAGCCGTCTGGACGGGAGGAAGGCCAAATGAACAGGCCTAGACAACGCCAGAAAAGGCAGTCAACCCGTATCGATCTCGTTGACGCCGGATCGCGAGCCTACCACAACAAAGAAATCCCAAGACGAAACAACAATTCCATCTCGCCATTGGCCCCCACCAGCTACCGAAACGCAGCGGCGCACAAATATACGAGCAGGAGGAACCAAGTACAATGGCGCAAAGCACCTCGACGACTTGGCCCCTCATTTCTCAATAAGCGTTGCTGGTCCTTCGGGCCTTCGGCATCCTTCGGCTACTGTTTCTGTGACTTTCTGTCACGCAGATGCGGGAGGATTGGGCTTAGCGGTGCTACAGCACGGTGACTGCCTCTTCACTGGGTCTGGGTCAATACTACACTGGCTATGCTGGTCGGCGATGATGGTGTTCCACTGCATCCAGTTGGGGAAGGCAAAAGTGAACACCTTGGGGGCGCGCGGCCGCTTCTTTCTGTGCCTGCTCCTTCATCTCGTTATCAATATCGCTGCAGAAAGTTCTGCGTATAGGCAAGTGTCGTGGATGTTGACGGGAGGGCAACGTCGGAAGTTTTCGGGCAGCTCAAGCACGAGATGGATGTCTTTCGAGTGATAGCCCAGCATCATCCCTTCGAACTGCTCTTCGATAGATCTATACACCATGTTTTACTCCCTAAACTGTGCAATGCTCGCCTAGTAACTGTTTAGAGACTTGGAAATGTGTTCCGACGTTGCGTTTCGTCTTGCCCTGCTATCCCGCTCCCAAGCCCCCATTGAACCCCAAGCAAAACCGCAGACACCAACGTTCCAGATTGATGTAGCACCATCGTCACGCACTGCCCCTTCCCCCGGGCCAAGAGACCCCAGTGCAACTCCCCCACAGTTTCGCATCATAGCAGCCTGGCGTTATTCTCGTCGGCAGAGGGCACCACACAGCACGTCCGAAGGTCACACGACGTCAATACAGCCCTGGAGGTGTTACATCGACCCAGAGAACAAAGTAACCCACCAATGCGACTACCCGCTATGTACCGAGCGGCCGATGCTAGACGATATGATCGGCGACTGCACCTTAACAGACTTACAACATCAACAGCCAGCCGCGTACCCTCACAAGGTCCAGTCGGCCGCCGTTCAATTTCAACTACATAAGGGGCGAGAGTCAGGAACCCAAAGTCCCAAAGAGAGCCGAAGGCAGGATTCGCAGGAAGAAGTAGGGTTGGACCCAAGTCTCACGGGAACACGGGCTGCACGGGCAGGTTAACCTTCTCACGTCAGCAGTCAGCACGTATTAATCCTTAGGTATGCACTTCATGCGCGACAAACGAGAAAACTCCCACCGCTACATAAGGTAGCCTCCCATGATGGCCTAGGCTACCTAGGCTACCCGACGGCTCTAGTAACGGGAATAATAACACCGGGCGCCGTTCTCTGCCGCTCTAAGATCGTGGTCGAGTGAGTGCTCGGATCATATCATCATGGGCGTGCCTGGCGGCGGCCGCTGAAAGCAACCTCACGAATCCACGTTTTGCGGGTTTGGGACTTGGGTTCGATCTTTCCGTGTGTTGGGGTTCGATCTTTCCCGTGTGTTGCCGTGTGTTGGAGTGTAGTGTGTTGGTGCATTTCGGTCCTCACTCATATCGGCGGAGGCACGCGGGCCGCCAGCTTGAGCGGTTGGTTCACTTCATGTCATTTTGATCTCGGGGGTGCCACGGTGACGGAGCAGGGGCAGCAACTTGCCTTCTATAGGTAATCGGTGTTGGTTTGGTGGTCAAGTGCTCGCGAGGATCGACAGTTCGGATCATGAGCGTGCTGCGTACCTGGCGGCCGCTTTGAGCAGCCTATGTCAACCACGTTTCCGTTTAGAGGCAATCAAGTATCATTGTCGTCTTCCATGTTGGAGTGTTGTTGGACTTTGTTAGTGCTCTCCTCTCCGGTCCTCAGATACCGGCGGTAGACTGGTTGGTTGGTAATGGCAATTTGGGGGTGAAAGGTCTAGGGAAGGAAGTCCTAAGGAATCTTTGGGGTCTTGCTCTTGGGGGTGGCTTAGTCCCGGCCCGGCCTGGTTGGCTTCAACGACACTCGATATGCTCGGATACGAGTTCTCCGTGCCGCGCAGGTACGGACAGATGGCAGCAAGCCCCCGAATGTAAATGTCCCGTTCACTTATCATATAGAGAGAGCGTGGCAGGCGGACGGACAACCGAACCGGGTGTCATTGACCGGCCGACGTTCGTCGGAGGAAGCAGACTACTCGCAAGTTGATAAGTCAGTCAGCAAAGCAGTCAGTCGCAGGTCGGATAGCCGCCGAGCCGGGGAAGTCAAAGTCAAAAGCAAGACGGTCTTCATTACTCATTAGGTTCCCTTCATTACTTCCAGCCACTTCTCTTGCTAGATGGCTCTCAAGTGAGAGACGGTGTCCAGACTCCAGAGACCTCGGAGCTACAGTCAATAAAGCAAAGGACAAGGCGATGACCAATGCGAAGAGAGCCCAACGCTAACTAACACCCAAGACTAAACGTTCATCATGTCGTGAATTTCGTCGTTATGATATACAGATCGTGTACTAACTTCCGTCCGTCGTTTCTATCCATCCGTCATCACATCATGTTCCATATGCCTGTTTCCAATCATTAGATCCGTCAATCATCACATCACATCAAACCCCCATTCCATTCCAATCTCTCCTCGGCCTCGCGCCGCCTCGGTCTGTCTCAGGCATCAACCTCCTCCCCCTTCCCCTCCTTCTCCCCACCCCCACCGCCACCGCCGCCCATCCCAAAAAAGCTCTTCCGCCTACTCGTAACCGGGCTCCTACTCTCCCCCCTCCTTTCCTCCGCAGCAATACTCATCCCCCTCGTCGTGCCCCTCTTCGTAGTCGAACCCGGTCTCATCGGCATCCCAGGAGCTCCATTATTGGAGTTCAAACTCCCATCGCGATTCAGTCCCGATCCGCCACTAGACTTGGACCTCCGAACTTCTTCCAACGCGGGCCGGGCTTGCTCCTTAGAGATCACCAAGCCCTGGGTGATGCTCATGATGTCGCCGTCTTCGACGGAGCACATGGATGGCCAGACTACGAGGAGGATGTCGTCTGGGTCTATTTCTTCTTCTTGCGGGGTGTCCGAGTTGTTATTGTGGTCGTTGTCGGAGTGGAGGTGCGTGCGGGAGCGGTTGTGGTGGGAGTGATTGTGGTTGTGGTCGTGGTCGTGGGACGGGTTATGTAGGCCCTTGCCGCCGTCGGGACCGGGGGTGGTTAACGGGGCGCCGGCTCCCTGATCTGCTCCGATTGTTGAAGCGCCGTCATCGCCGTCTCCGCCGTCTGTGAGCGTCACTGAGAATGGCCGCTGTTGTTGCGGGTTGGAGCTGACAAACTCCGGCAGGTCCAAAACCTGCCAATCAAAGTCGTCGTACGGCGGCCCAAAGTACGGCTCGATTTTCATCGAGGCCAGTTGGATCCGCATCCATTGCTCGCAGGCGAGCTTGCAGGCTTGCTCGAGGCCGGAGACGAAGGACTCGAATGCTAGTGCCGAGAGCAAGTGTTGCACGAGCCAGGAGACTTCCCTCACCACTGTCTTCACCCTTCTTGCGCCCTGCTCGATTTGGCGTTCGGGCATCGTCGCAAGCAGCGTTGACCTTAGGTGCAATTCCCGAGCAGGATTCTCGTCTTCCAAGACGCGGAGGAACTTGACTAGGTTTTCGTCGTCGTCGTCGAGTAGGTAGACTGGTCGGAAGAGATGGCGGTGTAAAGCGCGGGAGAGGACGGCTAAGACGGCGGAGATGCGCATGCCCTTGGCTGCTGGGGAGTTGGATTGCGGAAGCGGGATTTGGAGTTGGGTGGCGTGTTTGAGGTAGGGCGAGTTGCGGAGGTTGGCCCAGCAGGAGGGGTCGGAGAGGACTGGCTCGGGGAGGGAGGGGCGGAAGGTGGATTCGACGAGGGTGACAATTGAGGTCCAGATTTTGTCGAGGATGTCGACGCTGCGCACAAGGTTAGCAAGGGGTGGACTTTGAGAAGAGGTGAGGAGAAGAGGCGGAGGACACCAAGAAGAGAAAGATGGGAGAGGGACGAGGTGAGAATGAAGGATCAGGAGAGGGCTACAGGGCACAAAAAGGGAGAGGATAAGAGGGAAAAGGAGAGCAAAAGAGAGGGACAGAGGGGAAAGGAATATGGGAAGGAACGGGGAACTCACTAAACGTCTTCGCTGTCAGCATGAAGCTTGATCTGGTACGATGAAAGAATATCCAGCTTCTCCTCGGCGGTTTGGAGATTGTCCTCCGTCTCGTCAAGTCGGTTCTGGAGGTCTTCGGCCCGGGCAACGGCCGTGTCGGCTCGATTGGTCTCGGTGTCGAGTTTGCCGTGCAGGGCCTCGATCTCTGCACTCTTCTCAGCCACCGTCTGTTTGAGAGAGACGATCTGTTCCTCAGTAGCCTTGAGCGATGCCTTAAGACTCTCAATCTCAGATGTCTTTTCAGCTTCTGTGGCCTTGAGGGACTCGAACTCGGCTTTGGTGGCTGTTAGAGCCTCGTCGATTGCCTTGAACTGAGCCTCTAGCGTGGCGACAATCTCTTTGAGCGAAACGATCTCGACCTCGTTCTTAGTTTTGTCGGCTTCCAAAGTGGTCTTGGATTCTTGAAGCGATGCAAGGTCGGCTTCGGCTTGCGCTTTCCAGGTCTCGAGAAGGGTCTTGGCGTTCGATAGTGCGGCAATCTCCTCGGCCGCGGCTTGTGCAGCTTGGGCGGCAGCTGTCTCGAGTTCCTCCTTTGACTTCTCAAGAGCGGCCTTGGCAGCTTCGAGGTCTGAGATTTGCATCCCCCGTAGGGACTTCATATCACTCAACTCCGTCCCCATGTCGTCTCTCAGCTTCGCCAGCTCATACGCCTGGTCCTCCCTCAACTTGGTCAGTTCCTGCTCTTTATCCTCCTTCAGCGCAGCCAATTCCTTCTCTTTGTCCTCCTTTAACGCCGCCATTTCCCGTTCCTTATCCCTCTTCAACTCATCCAACTCCCTCTCCTTCTCCTCCTTCAACCTCGTCAGCTCACGCTCAGCATTTTCCGCAGCCGCCGCCGTCCTCTTGGCACTATCCTCCAAATCCCCTTGCAATTTCGCGCGCATGGCGTGTAGGTGCAGCACCTCCTGCACTTTCGACTGGATCACGTCCTCGAGTCCTTCCTTTTCCTTGTCGAGCCGCTTCTTCCAGTCGTCCAGCTCGGACCGGTAGCGGTGGTACTCGTCGAGGACTTCGCGGTGGGAGATGGACATCCGCTCGTTCTTCTCCTTGAGCATGATGAACTGCCCGAAGACGTCGGCGACCAGCTTGTAGTTGCTGTCCGCTGTGAGGTCGCGCATGGCGCGCACGAGACCATCGACGGCTTGGGTGGGGTCGATGTTCCCCGAGGAAGAGGAAGAGGAGAAGGGGCCGGAAGGGGAGGAAGGGGAACCCATTGTTGTTGGTGTTAATGGGCTGCCGGGCAGATTGGTGGTGTTGGTATTGTTGGTGTTGGCGGTGGTGCTGGTGTTGATGCTGGTGGTGCCGGCGGCGGAGGTGGTGATGGTTGGCGTGGCCGTGGTTTCGGAAGTTGCCGACCGGAGGAAACCACGGAGCGCTTCTTTCTGGGGAGTATCCAGCTTGGGCAACCTGTTGGTGAGGAGGCGTATTATGGTATTAGAGTGGTGATGCGATGTTGGTGAGGTCTGGGTCTGGTGGTTATGTTCGGTTGAGAAGTGAGTTTTGAAGATGACCGACGTGGCTCAAATGTGTCGGTGATGGACTCCAGAGTGGATAAACCGCTGTAGGGCAGTGGGCCGAGTGGCTCTTGTGGACAGGGCCAGGGGTGGTTGGTTGATTCGGAAGCTGAGCATAAATCGACGGCGATTGGCATATTCTTAATTTCTCATGCATCAGGCAGAGACAAGCAGAGGCAGGCACGGATCGCCGACGCAGGGACGAGTCGTGGTTGTTTCGTTGTTGGGCTGGGGACGACGGCCTGAAGATGAAGCCTCATCGATTGACAACTGTCAAAAGTGTTTGGTCAATTGACATTGTCAGTCAAACTCCCAAACGGCAGACCAGTGAGAGGCTTCCATTGCCTCGGCCAATTGGGGCGAGGCGCATTTTGGAGGAGCTGACCTGACCTTTTCCTCCAAAGCGGAAGGCGAAGGCAAGTGGAAGGGTTTGTGTCGTGTGTTTGACGTGGCAGTCTCGATGACCAGAGACATTGAAAGCTCTCCTAGAAATCATTGGCCCAGGGGAACAAGACGCTGTAAACACCCGAGCCCCACCATAGCTAGCGGGACGGAAGCCCGCACGTGCAGATTGTGGCCAACGAAATGCTTATCCATTGGACAATATCAGCAATAAAGTGGACCTGCTCGACACCGACCCAAATCCTGCCCCGGCCCCCGCAATCCGCAACCCGAACCTTCTTGTCATGGACCATCCACATTGCGGCCCGTTCCTCCATCTCGTTCTCCATCTTCTCCATTTCCCTCCCATCCTCGACACGGACTCCCGGCCTGTCATGATTGGACCACTATCCGGGCGGTTAACCATGAATTTGGGTCTGCCACCAGAAACACCATGATCAACTTCGAATGATTCCCTTCTTTGGCATCGCCGCGGCACAGCCACCGCGGACTCCGTGCACTGTGGCACTCACACGCCCAAGCAGGCCATGTATCACTACCTATCACCAGCTCCTGTTCCCGTTAGGTCGGAATTGCGCTAGGGATAAAATGTACGTTTCAATGGGCGATGCCTCGATTCAACGAATGATCTCCCCTCGCCTAGGTATGCAGGAAGCCATATGCTAACTGCCCTAGACCATATCTATTCACAGGTACCAATAAAATGGCAATACTACCAGATATGCCACCGTGCATGGGCGCTTCCACACATAGCGTAGTCTGTTGGGACTTGGGAACTGTGATATTACTGGTAATAATCGATATGGGGTTCAACGTGGCTTGATTGTGTGTCTGTGTAAAACTGGCTCTATAGACTCGAAGCTCTAGCATCTAAATAAATCCCGCATATCCCAACCCAACTAAGCACGTACACGCCCAGTAGATCTCCTAGCCTCTAGTATACTCCCTTAAATTTAATATACAAACTACGCTAAATCTACCTAGATATGCCCTAAAATGCCCTAAAATTTTCCTAAAACTAGCTAGAAACAATACTATTCCCAAATTATTTCCTCGTTATAATAGCTGTCAAACTTTCACTCGTAAGAATCTTACCTTATTATACTTATTATTATATTTACTAATTCGTTACCCGAATCCTACTCTACAAAGTCCTCTACACCCTTTAAATAGCTTATAGCGATATCTCCGCTACTAAACTCGCGTAATTGAATTTATAGCCGCTATAATTCTACGAATCCTAATTACTCTATAAATTTTAAATATATTATAGGAAGGAAACTCTTTATAAGGCTATCCGTAATCTATTCTTTAATAAATACGTAAACTACGTCTACCAATTTCCTCTCTTACATTTACTTTAATTAATATTTATATATATCAACATACTTAAATTTGATTACGAGCCGAATTCTCTCCTTTATAATAAATTATATTATTTATTTATTATTATAGCTTATAGGCGTAGCCTTTTAATTTTTGAATTTTAAAGTAAATTCGTTAAAGAAATAATAAACGTAAATTACTTCTTTAACTCCTTAATTGAAGGATAATAATTTAACCTCTATAAATAAAATTATAATTGTATTTTATTTTTTAGTATACTAATCGATAATAGCGCTTAGTAATTTAAATACGAATACTTATAAATTCTTTCGATTAAGAGAATTATTTGTAAATAATAAGTTAATTAAAGTATAAAAATTTTAACAGTCTTTACTATTTAATTAAAAGGTATAATTTTAAATTATTAGAAAGTAGAAGAATATTTTATTTATAACTATATAATACATTAAATTAGGGTTTAAATTAAATTGAGCGAATTTAAAAACTGAAAAACTATATTTAATTGTAATGTAATAATAATATAGAAAATTGAACCAATTTTAATTTAATACATATAAATTTCGTATACAATTATACTATGTTATTAAAATGGGAATTCTTCTTTAACTATAAGTATAGAATATAATTTTCTTATACGCTTAACCTTCTTTATAATTTTTTCAATATAATCGCGTTATAATAATTAAATTAATTTCTTTTTTCGGTCTTAAATAATTTTAATGCTTAAAAACTATTTTAATAGCTCTCTACCCGTTAATTCATATTTCCGCTCTATAGTAGCTACTACCCTCTTAATCATACTAATTTCTTTATCCCTATATTTATAAGCAATAATAATATTATCAACGTAGAAGAAAAAAAAATTTTATTTTTAATTCAAATACTAAATTCTATAGGGAGAGGGTTTATATTTATATTTACGAAGGTCTTAGTAAATTCCTACTACTAAAGAAAGAGAAATTTCTATAAATTATATAGCGCATATGATAATTAGAATACTTAACCTTTCCTAATATATTTAGGAAGAACCTTTATAAATATTCCTTTATTAAATATAGTATTAATAAAGGCGTTCTTTATATTATACTAAATTAAATAAAAATTGAAATAAACGGCTATAATTCTTAGGATATAAAACGATTTATTAATTAGAATCGCTACGGATATTTTACGTACGCTATTTTTAGATTAATAGTCCCTACGTACAATTAAACGTATTTTATATTTAAAAAACCAGCCGTTTTAGTCAAATTTGTAAATATATACCTATATCGAACCGAATATTTCGTTATCTCCTACTTCCTTAATACTAACCTACTTCTAAGACTTCTTATTCTTATATTCGTCTAAATATTCCTTTTCTATAGCCCTAAAGAATTCTCTAAAAGAATAAGAATTAAAATTACTATAATACTTTGAAAAAGGTAGGAAATTAATTCGATAAAAGGTCTTTAACATACCCTTTACTCTATTACGGTTAATAATTTCCTTTATTATTTTTAATTTAAGATTATAACCGGGATTAATATTAATACCCCTCTTTCTTATTTCCTCTAAGAAGCTTTAATCTACAACCTTATTTCCCTAGAATCTTACTAATTGATTACCTTTTATAAATAAGAATAACGCGGCCTAATAAAAGTAGTAATTTATAATTAATTATAAATCTTCGTTAGAATGAAAGAAATCGATTACTAGAAATATAATTAAGTTCTTAAGAGGTATAGGAAAATAGCTCTCTTCTTTATCCTTTGAATTTAAAATTATATTTTAGAAATCCAATAATAATTATACGGGCGGCGATAGTAAAAGCTTTAAACATCTTTACAATATTTCTAAACTTATTTATAATTATATTTCTAATAATTATAGGACCTCTAAAGATCTAGACTACGTTTATATCTCTAAGGACCTTAATTCCTCCTCTTCCCCTAACATATTCTCGGTCTTAATAGGAAAATTTTGGATAATGGGGCTAAAATTCTATTATTTACAGTAAATATAACCTCGACCGATAGGACGTTTACTTGCGTAATATCTATTTAATAAAAATCTTTTAATTATATAGCTAACTTTTTAAGGGAAATATTAAGGGTATTATAGATTTCTTTAACGTTATTACTGGGAAAGACCTCGTTTTTATTAAATATAATATTTCGTATAATAATAATAGAATTAATATAGAGATTCCAAATCCTATAGATATTCGTTAACTAGTATCCAATTAAATAGCCGACTTAAATATAATCTTGAAACTTTATTAATTTATTTTATTCTGTTATAATTTCTATTATAAGAATAAAGGCCTTATAGCTATATACTTTAAAGTATATAATAATAAAGGAAGGGTTTAATAGAAGAATAATACCGTTTTTAAATTAATAGTAAAATTTACATCAGTTTTAGGGAGATTTCTAATAATATTCCGCCTTAGGGGTTAAGTTACATAAATATATAGCTGCTCTGGTAATTTCTATTTATAGTTCGTAAGGAAAATTTATACTTAATTATATTATTATACCCTTGGTCTTAATTATACCCCCTAAGCGCTTTGCGCTGCTGCTTTGAGTTTGCGTATAAGGTGTTGAAGGTTTAATATTAGTTCCCTTTATAGTAAATTAGGTAGTAATCTTTTTATTACTAATTATTTCGTTATTATATTCGATTACCCGAAGTACGATTTAATATTAAGTCTATAGCCCTATATAGAAGGATTCTGAATACGCGGTAATAGATTCGGCTTTTTTATTGCCTAAGTAATATATTTAGACGAATTTAGACTACCGATCTACAATTGCTATTAAATTTAAATATTTCTAGCCCCCTACTTTTACTTCTTTATAAGAAAAGAAATCGACGGCTAATTATAATTTAGGGCCCTCTAGGTAGTTATAAACTTCTCTACGCACCTAGCGCTTTAATTTAACTTTAATATATAGTTCGTAATTATTATAGGGCAAGGCGACGGGTAGGGAGTAGGTTAAATATACGTAGTTATACGAGGAGAGAAAGAGAAAGGTATATAGAGGTCTAGCGATATAGGGTAGGGCTAAACCATGCCTAGAGCCAGACCTGTATGTGTATATATACGTAATATACTATTAGCTAATAGCGGTAATAATACGGTACGAAATTCGACTACCTATAGCCGGAGCTGTATATATATAAGGTAATTACAAATAATCCTATAATACTACCTCCTTATAAAAAAAGCTCTAGAGCTTTAAAATCTATATATATATAAAATAATAAATTATCCTTCAATCCCCGTCTTTAAGCTCCTCTATCCGTAATTCTATCCGTAATTAAAACGTTTATTTAAATCCCCCCGCTCATAGCTCCCAAATCCTCCTTATATCCCTAATTTTACCCAGTTTCCAATTATCGTCTCCTTATTAATATATCCCTACTTCTAATTTGCTTACTATATTCTTCGTAGGGAGCCTCCTCTCCTAATATATTTCTAATAATTTACTAAAAATCTATTCAAAAATATCGTTTATGTTCCTTATATCCTCTATTAATAATTCTTTTATTAGTTAGTTAAGGTTCTCCCTTATTAATTAATTAATTAATAGAACGGGCGTAATATTTTCCGCGAATAAATTAATCTACTCCTTTAAATTTATTATATATTTAGAGTGCTTTAATATCGTAAGCGCCATAGGTACTAAGGCGGGTCGCAATACTAACACCGGCAAATAGGGTACTAGAATAATAGTAGT